AAAAAAAACAGATATGAGAACGCTCAGGCGAATGTGCGAGCCCAAAGGAACCATATTACAAGCAGCTTTGCAGGTACGCGATAGGGGAAAATAGAATAATTATAGCTGTTCGAAGGATTCGGCTATTAGAAAACAAATTTTGAGGATTAAGCGGGCATGGCGGTCCAAAAATGAGCAAGAAGCCAATGACCAGAAAATGTTCTGCGACAACGTAAAAACGACATGATAGGCGAAGGGTATCCGAACAGTTGCAAAGGGACCAAAGGATACTGATTTGTACAGGGGACACTAGCTAGAAAAATTCAACGATTTATAAATAATGTACTGCGACTTGATCTCTGAAACTTGCTTTGCCACTTTAATGACTATGAATGCAAGTTAACAAACAGATGGCAAATCGAACTACACTATTTGTCATGAGTGTTAAACGCAAGTCGCTGAAGCGTCGCAGTTATAATCAGGACTACCATCGGACTGTTTCCTTGGGACTAGAACCATGTAAACAGTAGTTTACTATAGTATCAACGCCTTACTAATAATACACATGACGTAAAACTTTCGGGCATAGGATCAAGGTTTCAGCTGATGTTACCAACTTTTATCAACTGCAAATAGTATACAACAGTACGGTCATAAAAGACTGCCAAAATATAATTGGAGTAGCTTTTTCTCTTTGTCAGAGGTTTACATAAGTTTCGCCCTCATCTCTGTTCATCATGTTGCATATTGCCTGGATTAAGTGCGTTTCAACAACTAGGCGTTCTTTGTAGTTGCTCAGTCGTTGCCACTACGGCTGGGTTGTTAAAATCGACTCTGCGTTCAGTGGAAACTTTGTGAACAGCTCTTGTTGAGTTCTCCTCCAAGGGTCGCTTTTCTACGGTAATTTGGCTACTGATGATGACTGCTTCTTGTGTTCTACCATCTTTGTTCATAATGTTTTAGCGAACTGACCAAAATACGAGACATCTGCAATTAATACAATACATTATATCGGTCATTTAGTCTCCATTTATCTTGTCTTTAGTCTCTGCCAAAAGAGACCTTAATTTCTCGCCAGATTCGCATAAAAACAAGGCAAAACATTATGAACAAAAATCAGGCGTCTGTATCGCTTCGTATATAATAATCTTTTGGTACCAGAGATATACATTGTTGTAGGTTGACAGAGACTAGTAACATCTGCCAAAACTTTGGTTCTGCGCCAGAAAGTTTTACGCTGCATGGCTTAGTAATAAATTTTTAATACTTCACTCATGAACCAACCCATGGTGTCAAATACGTATGTGCAAAAAACTGTCCAACACATTAAAAGTACTTTCAGAAATGGTGCGCTGATGAGAACTACAGAAACAGAAATATACTGAGACCAGAATCCGTTGGTTTAGCTACGAAAAATAAAGGCATAAATATCGGTGATGATTTCAACGAAGAGAAGGTCGGTCGGCAGATGCTATCAAACATGACATGTTGTTGCATGCTGTAAGGCTTGGCCTCCAAATCAGGAGAACACGGTGCATTTTACCGTATCTTTAGTTGGTGATGTCTACGGAGTGTTTCAACAGACAATGGGTCGACAATGCTTAAACACGTATACATTGTCAGGTACATTCCAGATCATCGTATTCGCTAGAGCAACGTCTCGCAGTGGCCAGTGATGTTTCGAGAGTTGCATGTTTTACGCTTCGTAAAATCAAGAATGAAATAATGCGAGATGACCTAAGAGTCCAGGAAGCCATGTAAAGAGGATACCACGAAGCTGTGGCCTCAATTAATCATTCTTTCAGAACAAAAGAGGGAAATTAAGTTGTGAAATCCAATTCAAAATGAGAAAAATGCTTATTAGAATACCCTGGCGTACAAACTCATGTTAACGATACTCTGACAAAGGATCAGAAAACGAGAAAATATTTGTCATACACGAGACGACTGTTATTAATTAAGAATTCAATAAAAAGTTACGCAATACTGAAAACATCAAATCTAATAAATGAAGTTGCTAGGAACGTTACAAAAATAATACACTCACTGCGACTGCTACTTGCTCGAAGCTAGATGCAGCAAAGGGTTTTAAGCTACAACTACACCAGGAAGTGAATGTTAAACAACTGCGGGTCAGATGGATATATTATAACTAAGATGAAACTGCCAGTGCTTAAGACGGTCACCCATCCTGGATGAAACAGGAGTACAAGGGTCACGAGTCTAGTTCAAGAATTTAGGTCTTTCTCAATGGCAGCATTCAGTATTTGGCAAAATTATCTGTTGGTTACGTGGGCAAATTCACTTCAGATTACAACGGTTACCTTTTCTTACAGATATTCTAAGGAACTGCCAGTGGGCAGCAGAACTCTACTCTCCTTCGACTGAGTTCAATCAACTCCGTTCCGTTCCTCAGTTCAGAAGAATGGATGAGAGCAAAAAGATGCCGTAGCAATTTTTAATGCACAGGAATTGATCTTACGGTTTGGGTGGGTCAAGAAATACAAAATGTAAAAAGCGAGTTTGGTACCATACATGAGGTGAAACTGAAAAAAGCAAATTATTAATTCTCTTACGCTTTGTTGTTCTTGAGATGCGCTTCCAAAAGCTTCGCTCTCCTTACTAGATCCTGAAAGAACAGGTTTCTCCAAATAAAGAAAAAAATCCATGAAAGACGTAGTAATCATAGCAATTATAAACAAATTAAATAGAAACCATTCTTTATCACAGATTATCAGCCGCTATCGCAACATCCCCAAGGAGTTTTTACCAAGTTTTTCTAACGAGGAAACTGAAGACAGAGATCAAACGTTTTGAGACAACTGAAAACCTGCCTTCAGCAAATGGTAAATACGAAGTTATATAAAAAAAATTAGTTAACGATATCAAAACAGCATTGAATATAAATTTAATAAGGCAATACCAATGGCAGAAAAGCCTTGAGTTGGATACGGCGCAGACGGAGCACTGGAAACGGGGTTCGGTGGTGCAGAATACGGTACAGCGCTGCTAACTGGGTAAGGAGACATTGCGGAGACTGGCTGTGGTGGGGCACTGGCAAGGGGGTATGGCGGCGGATCATTCCTGCCGTACTGCGCCATATTCGGCCATGTTTGCGTCTGTTCGTAAGTGGGAAGCCCGGAAGCATTGTATGGCGGAGCCGAAGGACGCCCCTGGATACCGAC